TGCTGTTAAAACAGAACCAAGGAACTACAAAATCCACAAGAAACTACAAAAACTACAGGACCAAGGAACTACAAAAACTGCAGAACCAAGGAACTACAAGAAACTACAGGACCAAGGAACTACAAAAACTACAGGACCAAGGAACTACAAAAACTACAAGGAACTACAGAACCAAGGAACTACAAAATCTACAAGGAACTACAGAACCAAGGAACTACAAAAACCACAGAACCAAGGAACTACAAAAACTACAGGACCAAGGAACTACAAAAACTACAGAACCAAGGAACTACAAAAACTACAGGACCAAGGAACTACAAAAACTACAAGGAACTACAGAACCAAGGAACTACAAAATCTACAAGGAACTACAGAACCAAGGAACTACAAAAACTACAGAACCAAGGAACTACAAGAAACTACAAGGAACTACAAAAACTACAAGGAACTACAAAAACTACAGGCCTGCAGAACCAAAGAAAGGACGGGGACCGAGCTGTGGAAACCTGGGCAGACGGAAGCAGAACTAGCTGATAAGGCAGGAGCGTGTCTTGATGGTGTCAGACTGTGGTGAAGAAGTGTTGGGACACTGAAGAGGTAAAGGAGTCTCCAGTACGGATCAGTACAGACGTGTCTCAGGTGCAGGATGACTGCAGGAGGAATCACTTTAACTCCTCTCTCCTCTCACACTCCTCTTGTCATTCCGCTCAGTGTTTTTGCCTTTGGCTGATTTTTCAGAGCGAAGCCTCGGGATCAGATCCTGAAGCTGCTTTAAGCTGCAGAGGAAGAGAGAGGGAAATCTGGGAAAACACTGGGATCTGCTGCTCGTCACTTCGCCCTCAGCTGCACCTCCTCTCTGTGGCGTGAGGAAAGAGGAGAGTCGGAGGAGGGAGGGAACAGCCCGCCTGACTTTTAATGAAAGAAAGCTTCACCATCATGGATTTAACGCTGTACCACCGCCACACAAATCCTGCTCTCTGATTGGCTGTCAGCTGTCCGTCATAATCATTCACCTGTCCACATGAGAGCCTAGATCATACTCGTACTGATACTGATGTCACATGACCACTTAAAGAGCCCTGGAACCTCCTTAAGAACCTCTGGAATCGGGGAATACCGGAACTTTCTTCAAAACCTGTGGAATCTCTTCAGCTTCCTCCAGAACCACTGGAACTCTATCAAGGACCTCTAGAACCTCCTCTGGAACCTGCTCACACCTCCTGGAGGCTGCCAGAACCAAGGATTATTACAATCTGCTTAAGAAACCCCTGAAACCTGCTCAAGGAGAACCAAGACCTCCTCAAGGACCTCTGGAACCTCCTCTGGAATCCTGAGAGCCTCTTTAAGACTCCTACACCCTTTCTAAGAACCTCTAGAACATGCCCAACGGGCCACTGGAACCTCTTCAAAGCCCTGTACCATTTCCTTAACAGCCTCTGGAACCACTTCAGTGACCCCTGGAACCTCCTCAAGGCCCTACAACTTCCTCAGGACTCTTTGGATCCTCCACACTCTCCCCGACATCTGTTTAAAGACTAGCACCGAATCAAAGCCCTATAGCCTCCTCAAGAACGACCGGAGGCCCTTCAAGGACCCCCGCAACGTCCTTCAGAACCCAGGAACTTAACGCACAAACATGAGATTGGTACTGATGTTCTGATCTCACGACAGACACAGACGTCTTTAAATGTTGAAATATTCTCTCAGGAAAATGATTCAGTCTGTTCTGTTTGCAGGGTCATTAAGAGTGTTTATGTGGACAGACTGGAGGCCTGGATTCCTCCTGGATTATTCCTTCTTGATTTCTCCTGGATTTCTCCTGGATTCCTCCTGGATTTCTCCTGGATTTCTCCTGGATTCCTTCTTGATTTCTCCTGGATTTCTCCTGGATTCCTCCTGGATTCCTCCTTGATTCCTCCTGGATTTCTCCTGGATTCCTTCTTGATTTCTCCTGGATTTCTCCTGGATTTCTCCTGGATTTCTCCTGGATTCCTCCTGGATTCCTCCTGGATTTCTCCTGGATTTCTCCTGGATTCCTCCTGGATTCCTCCTTGATTCCTCCTTGATTCCTCCTGCCTCAGTGGGATGGAGCAGGATGTTTGCTCCTCAGTGTGTTTCAGTGTAAACTCCTGAAGGAAATGACATCATGATGCTTCTCCTCTCCTCCTAAATTATCCACAGCTCGCCTGTTCAGTATTTAAAACCTCGGCTCATTTCACATTCATGAACACAACACGCTGCTGGCACAATGAGCGCGCTCTGGAAACGCACACTGACGCGTTCCCGCTCTTAAAATATGGATGTGTAAATCAGATGAACCGGCGATGTGCGTGCACAATATGGCCGCCGCTCTGGCAGGAGGAGCGGGGGGGAAGAAGAAGAGGGAGACTTGGGAGAATTACAAAAAACTGAACGACGTTAGGATGCAGCCACCTGTCGGGGTTCAGCCTCGCGGTGCCTTCAGGGACGCACAGTTTTGTTGTTTCCCTATCAATCAAGCAGGAGTCAGATGTTCATGTTTCCTCATTCGATTTGTGGCATCTGTCTGCTGAAGGCGGCAAGCCGAGGATCCTGGGATTTAAAGGAGCAGACCACCAGTTTTCATATTGTATTTTTCATCGGTGTGAATGAGGCTGGTCCCAGTTCAGTTCAGATTGTTTTAACTGTTGGATTATTTACTGCTGCCATGTTACACCCTCTCAAACTGAGCTCAGTGTCTCATTAAACTGTTATATTAAGATATTTTCATGCTGCAGTAAAAGTGTTTAAATGCACATTAGTCTGGATCCTGTTTGGAATATTTACATGGAACAGCCTGATTATTCATTTCCCTGTTTACGTGTGTCGGTGTTAAACACCTGAGAGTGAACACAGTTTGGTGTCTGGCTGCCCAGATTCATTATTCTGCAGCTTCTCCATCTCTTCACTGCGGAGCGACGACACATCCACGACCTCCTTTACCAAATCAGACTTTTATAATCAGCACTGACAATGTACTTTTCAAATCCAGGATGATCCAGTTTCTCAAACCTGGATTCTTTTAACTGATTTATCTTCTCATTTATACTTTATACTTTTTTAAAATGTCCATCCCACATTTTACATCTGGATTTTCTTACTTAATTACAAATATATATTGTAAAAGTCTTTTTCCTAATTTCCATATTTTTCTATAAATCTCACATACAACCTTTATTTAATCCCTGAGGTCAAGATGAAAACTTGAAACCTGAAGCTGAGATAATCCATCACAGTCAACATGGTTACATCTGTAAATCTGTTCTGACATGAAAGGAAACTGAAGTCTGGAATTAAAAACTTCTTCATTAATTTGAGTTTTTCTCTGTTCTCTCAGATTTTGGATTTCTCTTTTTTGTGTTAGAAAATCAGAGTCTAGAAAAGAAATTACACAAAATATCTTATAATTCAAATTTTTTGTTGTGTGGGACGTTTTAGAAGCTTCTGTTTACTGCTGCTTTTATGTTTCTCCCATTTCTTTTACCATGTGGTTATACAGTACAGATCACTTTAATATGAAGCTGATGCCATATGGATGAAAACCTGACGGTCTGGCCCTTTAGGCTCCTGCAGGCCTTTGCTGCATGTTTCTGAGGAGAACACACTCTAATGGAGATAACAACGGGCTCTATTCACAACATGCCTCTGAGTGAAAGCAAAGCTCGCAGCTCTTGTCAGTGCTATCTGTAAATGGGATCACAGATTAGCATTGCAAAAGGAGGCGGCGGCGGCGGCCGGACCGTCCATTGTGAGCATCCGTCTCTTCCCTCCCCTGCTTCGCCCCGCCGTCAGAAGAGGCGGCGTCTCCAACAAAGACGAGAGCGAGAAGAAGGAAGTGGTGAGGAAGTGGTGTTAAACAGAAAGCCTGAACACGCTCGCCTCTTTCACGGCCCGATGCTATGACATTTACTTATCGCACTAAACAGCTTCAATCTGACCTTTCTGCTACTTTGAATGACATCTGGATATTCTGACGGAATAATCGGAGACAGTAAAAGCACTGATCAAGAGACAGATAGGGAGTCATCGGACGGTACATGTGGACGGCAGACAATGAGTCTGAAGGACAAGCTGAGGAGGATGGGACCGACACACCGGGGAAAATGTTTACTTCACTTCCAGCATGTAGAAAGAGTTCACAGTCAATAACACGCCTGATCCTGTTGGTATCAACGGGACTGGAGTCTAAAGACCTTAAACCTTCCATTAAAGCTCTTTCTCTATCCCACAGAGCGTCGGGTTAAACAGCCCCAACTCGTGGTGTTGGTCCAAAAGTTTCCAGAGGTCAGAGCTGTCAGGGTCAGTGTGTAGGAAACAGGAAATGGAGAGTATTTCCATTTGAAGTGATCAGGAGACGTGTGCTCGAACTTAAAAGCTCCATGTAAAACAAGCACAGCAAGGGGCTTCAGATGATTCAAACACTTCCAAATTATGTAATCAATAAGATATTGGATATTAGGTTCAGCTTTGTGATCAGTAGATACAGTCTCTCTAACGGGACGGTGTTCTTATTCTCATATATTCTCATATCATCATTATCTAGTAATAAGATCTGGATCTAATGGTAAAGAGCTTCTAATTATTACTATATATTATATTATTATTGATTGTTATATCGTCAACAATTAGTTTTTTCCTCAGTGTGCTTCTGTACAAATCAACAACTATGAGCCCAAACACTGCAAGAATTATCTCCCCTGAAATTATAACAAAGTCTTCATCTTGAGAAAGAGAAAACAACAACAGCAACAGCCAGACACAGTTTCACTCATCATCATGAAATACTCCAGATTCAGGTCTTCTCTCTGTCAGACCAGTGGTAATCAACGAGTATCGCTCCTTGTGCTATTTGTCCTTGTGTTATTTGTCCTTGTGTTATTTGTCCTTGTGCTATTTGTCCTTGTGTTATTTGTCCTTGTGCTATTTGTCCTTGTGCTATTTGTCCTTGTGTTATTTGTCCTTGTGTTATTTGTCGGTCTTACCGGTGTAGACGAAGCGTCCCGGAGCTCCTTTGCAGAACTGTTTGGACTTGTAGGACAGCGTGACTTCCACGACCCCGGGGATGTGACGAGGGGGAGTCTGGACCCGGATGGCGTGAGGGGTGATGAGCTGGATGATGAAACATAAACACAAACACAAACAATCGGGGTCAGAACAGTCGAGTATTTTGTTGTATTTTTGTTGTAGAACTATATGAAAGATGAAACATGACGCACATTTAAAGAGCAACTTTAATCTTGTGGTCGTCACTGAACTGATGTGGGATCTAAACATGTCTGTATACACAGTGCAGTGACATCTGAGAGCAACTTTATTTATCATTGTTCCAATGACAAACTACAGATTTATAAGTACGAGCCTCCTAGGTTTCCATGACAACGGAAACAGAAAAGAATTAGGGGAAACAACAGTCCATTGATGGGAAAGTTAGTTAATGATACCTAACGCTGTGTCGTTATATTTCACAATCTTGTAGCGTTTACCATCAGGCAGAAATAAATCTAGCAGCACATGAAATGATCACTATGGATCTGGTATGGTGATTCTTAGTGGGCTGTGTTGTTCTAGATGAAGTGATCCCTTCAGGTTTTGAAATATTATACTGTAAACAGCAGGAAACACTTTTATGAGCAATGGAGGAAGTGATTTGTGATAAAACCCGTAATTTGTTCTCCATTTCTGTCAGTGAGAGTCGGACGCCACATGTGGTTAGAGCAGAAATGAAAACTCGTCTCAGCAGATATTTCAGTGTTGAACTGACGCTGCAGTGATGTGCCTGTTGCCTGTTGCATGCATCATTTGATTTAACTTGAAAGTCTGTAGGAAGGCAGCTCAACAGATGATTTAAAGCCAAATAACTAAAACAGTAATACTCAACAATGACGAGAGGATCTGTCACCTACAAAGGTTTGGTGTCAGACAGGAGTCACTGATTTATTTTGTTTGTCAGTGAGAACACCAGGACGTCTTCAGTTCAGACCGACATGTTGTTTTAATGGTTTGAATGTGGGTGTTTGGTTTGTTATCTACTTTTTTAATTGTCTGATCTATTATTGATGGCTCTATAACGACTCTCAAAACCTTTTTCAATTTTAATAAGCGAAGATCAGAACCGAGAACAGTGTGAAATGTCTGTCGCTCCACAGTCAGTGTGCAGAACTCGTACTGGCGCTGATTTGGCACCTGTTATTTAACAGTGCAGTAAAAACCTGCAGCACCAGATTTCTCTCTCTATAAAACTTTCCCTTCCTCCGATCTGGGTCAGTGTGCAGGCTGCGTGCAGGGGGATGCTGGGCGCTGGAGTCCGTCTGCTCTCCACCAGACGACACTGATCAAAGTGCGGAGTGTGTGATGTGAAGCAAACAGCGTGTGGAGGTATATCTGGTATCTGGAGGTATGTCTGTCTCACGCCTCCTTCCCTCCTTCCCTCCTTCCCTCCTTCCCCGCCAGGTGTTCTGCTCTTCTGGACCCGCTTCAATATTTCATGATGCACCGTATGCGCCGCTGCTCCTGCGGCTCTACACGCACTAAATCTACATATTTTTGGGGACATGCAGAACGGCTACAGATACAGATGCAGGTGTGTGTGATGATGAATGTGTGTGTGGATGAAGAAGATGGAGAACATGGTGTGTGCAGCTGCTTTCAGAGACTCCCTGGATCAGGTGAGCACAGACAGAAGCTCTGATCAGTTATTGATTAAATCTGATAAACTCGCTGTCATCATTAAGAGAGAGCAAATGAAAAAGAGAAGTGAAGCACTTTAAAGTGTTGTTGTGTAGACATGGTCACAGGTAAATATAGCACCTGTTCTCTCCAAACTACAAACAATTACTTAATCAATTCTTCAGTCTACAGAAAGTTTACTGAGTCATTTATGCAGCTAAAATGATCAATATTTTCCTTATTCTCACTCCTGCAATGTAACGACTTCCTGAATTGACATGTTTTTTTATTAATGAGAAAATAAGCAGCAGATTAATCAATAATAGAAGTAATAATTAATTGCAGCCAAATTCAAAATGAGAAATTCTATCTATTTCTTTGAATTATTATTATAAATAGAAGATTTCTAAGCACAATTTCTTCTATTTCCAAAGAAAAAAAGCATAATTTCAAATGTTGTAGCTGATTGAGGTGGAACTAATTTTGAGGATTTTATCAGTCATGTTTTACTGAGCTGAAAAGTATTTTTATTATCAGTTTGTTTAGTCTGTAAAATGTCAAAACTATTAACCGATCTCCATCATAATGACCAAAATGACTTATTTAGCCAAAAAACTCAAAACAGGAAAAAAAGGAAATCTTCAAATTAAAGGAACTCTAACCGGCACATGTAACTATCTCTCTCTCTCTCTCTCTCTCTATATATAATATATATATAATAATTATTTAATAAATTCCAAAAACCAATCTGGCATCTGTTTGTTGACCATAAATTTTTGTAAGAAATAAAAATGAATTTCGTGCTCACCTCGCTCCAGACCAGCATGGTGCCGAAGACGACCTGCAGGCCGTCGAAGAAGTTGTCCCCTATGAGGATGACTGTGGCTCCGCCGGTCGTCCAGCCCTCGCTCGGACTGATGGCTTTGATGCAGGGCGTGGCTGCTTCGGAAACACAGGCGACACGAAGGAAACATGAGACCGTTAGAAACTCAGACAAAAATAAATCACAAAAACATCTACACTTCTAATCCTGTGAAACAGTGTGGTTCAGGTTAGCTAACGGTTAAAGACAGAAGCTAAAAATACAGCTGCATTTTTCAGTTTCGAAGTTAAGTAACTCGAACAGGTGTGTTGATATTACCCAACAGTTCAATATAACAGGTTAAAAAAGTTTAGTAACAGAGTTTCATTGAGATTAACACTCAGTTCAGTTTTAAACAGTTTGTTTAAGATTAGCTTCACATTTTTGTTCCTGTTGAATAAATTAAACGTCCCTTTTCCTGGAAAACTTTTTTATACTTTGTGTGACAAATTTTCTACTTAAGTCTCCTCAGTGCAGTTTTCTCTCTGTGAAAAATCTAATTTTGAAGATCAAGAGGAAGAGTGAATTAAAAGATTAAGAAAGATGATATTTTATATACTACATATATACAGTAGTTAACTTGGGGTGCTACTTTGACCCTGACTGTGACCTCTGACCTCCAACCAGACTGTTTACCCTAAACAAGATTTAACAGTTTCAGAATAAGACGTCACATCTTTAACTAAACAGCAGAAGTTACAGAGAGCTTTCAGTCAGAGCTCCCTCCACACAGAACAGATCCACCAGCAGCCTGTTAGTCCACCAATAACACATGCTAAATGATTGGTTTTTCCAATGCCACAGAGATCAATAAGAGGCTCCACATAAACAGCGTCTCCGTGATGACTAGACTGTTGTCCGACAGAGTCGAGTCGATTCAGACAGCGGACCGAGAGCTGCGAGGAAACAAGACGAGGCTCCGCCGGTTTACAACCTCTTCCCGGACCGCGAGCTGTTTTATTGGGAGGATGATTTGATATTCCAGTCAGAGCTCTGAGTTTCCTTTTGTTTACTACGTGAGCTGATCCATAAAGCTGTGTTTAGACTCTATTAAACATCCCAGTTACAATTTTCACCACTATTAGCAGAGTAATGACCTTCTACTACGAGTTACTGGCAGCACAAGCCCATGAAAAGGTGAATGTGGAGAGTAACTTTTGTAAGGAGAATACACACACTTAAACATCTTATTTGATTTTGATTTTTATTCATTTTGGGGACACGGACAGAACCTTTTTTCCCACCAGAGAGTTTCTACCGTTTTCTATCTCGGCAAATAGTTTGTGGTTTCTGGAAATGTGCAGCAGTGTGTAGTTCCTGAATCATTTCAGGAGAGCAGCACAAGTTGTAGGTGTGCTGGACACTCTCAGCTCTGAGCTCATTGGTTCTTACTGAAGACGGAAATCTTCAGGTATGTTTTTTAAAAAGTCTCAGTAATTTCCTAAAACAGCTGCTCACTGTAGCTTTTAATCAAACAAACAGGAAATAGTGAATTTGTGGGGCCTATTTTCAGTGGCGGATTAATCCAAATACTTCAGTGAGTATTGGGTGTGTGTTGATGGACATGGACAGTCATGATGCTGTGGGGTCACAGCATCAGTTTGTGAAAGTCGCTCAGAGTTTGCAGATGAAAGGAAAGACTCGTCCTCCCCAAACCCTGCAGCTGCTGCGGAGGGTCGAGGCTTTTCCCGCTCTGAGGAGTCGATTGTCATATCCTTATTAATTTCCCCTTTTGTCACAGCAGTAAACAAACAGTCCGGTGGGTCTGGGGGGGGGCGATTGTGACTTTCCAATTATATGAATAGAGCACAAAGGCTGGGAGCAGGCGGTGGAAAGTTTTATCAAGGAGACGGGGGGGTTGAGGGTTGGTGACAAAGGCGGGAGCAGATGTTGGAGCTTTTTATCGCCTCTGAAAACATCCCAGTCTGGAGGAGTTGAAAGGCCCCGAGCTTCCTCTGCGGGCCGAGATACAGGGCCGTCTGGTAAACAACGAGCCCCTTTTGGCCCCTGCAGGACACCGTACAGTACGGCTGGCGCCCTCTGAGCGCAGACGCCTCTGTACATGAATGTTTAAGTGCTGATTTGATGAAGGTTCCTCAGTGTCTCAGAGTTTTTTCACAGGTGAGAAACAAGAACATCTCAGCTTGATGAATGACATATCCGTGTCAAGTAGCATTTGTTTTGTCCCTTCAGACATGCCAGACAGGTGGGGTGTGCCATGCAGGACAACACAGTAAGTATGAAAAAGTTTGGGCAATCACTGGAGGTCAGCTAACTCTGCTTTTTCTTTGATCAACAACTTCATCCTGTCCTATATGCCCCCGGTGTGATAAACACCACCCATCTGGTGCTGCAAGTAGGTTAAACCAAACGAGACAATTACATCACTGGCTCCTGGAAAAGCCTCAAAACTTTAAAACATGTTGAGGGAAACTGCAGAGGTAGTCATCTGGGAGGTGAAAGATGGAGGACACAGCAGATTGTTGAAGTCTTAACTGGTGGCAAATTGTTTTAGGGTTTGTTTTACCCTTTTGTATGTCCCAGAGGGGTGGAGATTGTCTAAGAGGACATAATGATTAATAATGAGTGACTGGAAGTTCAGACAAAAGCGTATGACAGTGAAAGTCGATTTACTTTGCTAAGATTTGTCACTAAGATTTTATTGGATGACCTGATATGATAGGTCCCACCCGTCTGGTGTTCCAAGTAGGTTAAAACAAGCAAACAAGTTACACCACCTCTCCTAAAAAGCCTCAAACTTTAAAACAAGTCAACAGAGACAGCAGAGCAAGGACACAGTGGCTTTCTGATGTCTGACTGGGGGGATATTGTTTTAGGGTTTGTTTTGCTCTACTGTAAGTCCCAGAAGGGTGGAGCTTAAGGGAACCGAGTGACAAGTGTCTGGAGAATAGTGCAAGAACCTCAAAGTTAATGTAGTCTACTTTTCTGTTACTTCCTGATATGGTAAGCCCCGCCCGTCTGGCGTTCCAAGTGGCATAAAACAAGCGAAGCAGTGACACCATTGCTCCTGGAAAAGCCTCAAAGTTTTAATGGAGCCGAGGGAAACTTCACAGTTACGTGGTTTGGTGGCTGGTTGATATCAGATTTGTGTCAAATAATCTCAAGGTTTGTTTTAACTTTCTGGATGTGCCAGGTGGGTGGAGTTAACCAAACAGTTTCAGACAGACACACAATGCAGTACTTTCACTGACATCTCCCCTGAGACTTTCTAAAGCCTTTATATGATAAACTCCACCCAGCTGGTGTTCCAAGTAGGACGAAACAAACAAAGCACTTTTGAATACACCTAAAACTTTAAAGCGAGTAGAGGGGAAACTGCAGAAAGCCAGAGAGGGAGACATATCGATCTGTTCATACTTGGTGTCAAATAGTTTTAGCAATATTAAGTATATTGTGAGTTTGTTTTACTCTGCTGTACGTGCCAGGTGGGTGGTGCTTTCCACACAGGACACAACAGTGAGAGCCAGGAGGTTTAACTGAAGTATATGTTAATGTTAAAGTCCACTTCTGATTCTGTCTGAGAAACCTGGTGCTAGTAAGGATAAACTCCACCTTCCTGGCACACCAAGTCAACCGAATCAAGTGAGAGACTTATGTCATTGCTCCTGGAAGCTCCACGGTGAGGTGGGGGGAGGGTTTATTAGAGCGGGGACAGGGCAAAGTGGTATTAAAGTTTACAACTTCAGAGGAAATGTTACTGCTGGTTCCAGCTCTCAGAGTCGAGTTTCAGTGTGTGAAGTTTACACACGACTGATGCATTTTATTTGGTCGCTGTGGACGCTGGAAGAAGGGAGCGTTTGTTCGCCGTCACCTCCCAACAGGGCAGGACGTCCAACAGGAACACGGGGCAGGACGGGGGACGGGCTGCAGCTGGAGGACTTCACCGTCTCCATCTGTAAAATCCCTGTAGCTGTGTGAGCTTCAGTGTTTGACTTTGTCTTTTGTCTTGGTCAATGAATCAAACGCTGCAGTTCACACCAGAGCAGCTGTTTAAAACGGAACCAAACCACCTCATCAGTCCTCTGTGGATCAGCAGGGACGCTCTGATGAAAGACAGGTGCATTATGGGAGATGGGGTTTTTGGAGGCCAGCTGCTCAGTCACTGTTTCTGCTGCTTTATTCACCCTGTACATCAACAAATGAAACCTACGGCTCCACGTTCTCATGGTCAAACACCCACCCCCACTGAGGGAGGGGTCGCCGCTCATCAGCTGACTCCTGTTGTTTGTGCGTCTCAGTTTTCACAGCTGGACGTTAGAGGGACGACAGAAAGCAGCAGGATGTTTCCACTGTGTGTTTTTGTCTCTGAGAGACGTCTTACCTTCAGAGGGGTCCAGGCGTCGGGCGCGGCGGCCATGTTTGGAGTTGTTGTGCACGAACATGTTGTCTGACACGGCCAGGACGTGACCGTCCACGTTGACTGTAGTGGAAACCACCACCTGTACACAAACACCTGAGTCACTCACAGCCGCTTCATGTGTGTGTGTGTGTGTGTGTGTGTGCGTGTGTGCGTGTGTGTGTGTGTGTGTGTGTGTGCGTGTGTGCGTGTGTGTGTGTGTGTGTGTGTGTGCGTGTGTGCGTGTGTGTGTGTGTGTGTGTGTGTGCGTGTGTGCGTGTGTGTGTGTGTGTGTGTGTGTGCGTGTGTGCGTGTGTGTGTGTGTGTGTGTGTGTGCGTGTGTGCGTGTGTGTGTGTGTGTGTGTGTGTGCGTGTGTGCGTGTGTGTGTGTGTGTGTGTGTGTGCGTGTGTGCGTGTGTGTGTGTGTGTGTGTGTGTGCGTGTGTGCGTGTGTGTGTGTGTGTGTGTGTGTGCGTGTGTGCGTGTGTGTGTGTGTGTGTGTGTGTGCGTGTGTGTGCGTGTGTGTGTGTGTCTCTCACCTGAAACCTCCTCATGTCTCGAGGGTTTCCTGCGTTTTTCAGACAGTTCTGGTTGCACTTGAGGAAGAACTTCAGGAAGAATCTGAAACAGAGACGGAGCCGGATCAGAGCGAGTCCACCACAGACATTCAGATCCTGGTCCAGGACCAGGGACAGGACCCGGGCTCAGTCTGACAGGACGCTCATTTCACATCAGGGAGACGCTCACCAAAATAAAAGTCTCTGACTCAGTCACTCATTCACCAGAGAAAATCATCAGGTTCAAGAAACTGAACTGGACTCACTGATCAACTCATCACAGTCCATGTCCAAACACAGAATCTACAGGTATGTAAAAATAGGTTATACTGTTTTATAATTATATTCATTATAAACTCATCTTTTCTATCATGACAACTGAGCGAACTCCATGTGCTGAGGAAAACCACACGATGTGGCTGAAAGCTTCAGGAGAAATCTAGTAAGTGGAATTTAAATGACATTTTTCTTCTTCTGTTGTTTCCAAAGTGAAACATGAAGTTTGAGGCTCGACGTGTTTTTTCACATTTATAAACAGTTTTAAACTCTGTGAAAAATGTGAATAAATGTTTATTATTAATTAATAAACAAAGTGTTTGTGTGTACAAACATTCAATAAAGGTTTTATAACAGTAGATGTGATTTATCATTTATCAATAACATCATTTATCATTATTTATTTCATGATTAATTTATGTTTGAACAGCAGCTACAAACGTCACAACTTTAATGTGTTTTTACAGTATCAATAAACACTCACTGCAACTAATGATTAATTATTGATTCATCGATTTGTTTTGTTTTATAAATGAAATAATGAACATAATTATTTCCAGAGGTGATGTTTTTATATTTGAGACTCACTTCAGCTCAACATCAGTGATCAATATAGTTTATGGTTTAAGTTAAAGTGTTGGTGGGTGGAGAAGTTAAAGGACACGCCTCCCTCCAGTCACTGTCCCCACATCAGATCAGTTCCTGCTTCCTGGCAGGTCACATGACCTCTCTGAGCAGATGACATTATCATTCAGCGGCAGCGTCTTGATAAAGACGCTCGACACTTCCTGCAGACTGATGTCGTCTCATTAGGAGCCGCCTTTTGATTTTCCCTCCTGCACGTCCGCTCTCCTGCTTGCTCGCCGCCCGTTGATTTACGCGGGTTTTTACGGCGGCGGAGGAGTATTGATTGGGAACGGATATCAATGAGGACGGGCGGTAATAACCCGCAGCTTTGGATGAGGACAGTGGGCGATGGGGGGGTCAGAATGGATTGCCACCTTAATGCATTTCCCACTGCCTTGTAATCTGTGCACATCCATCTCTCGGACCATAAGCCCCCCCCCCCGTTTTGGGGGAGCGCTTCTTTTTTAATTGCCACATTATCACAATAATAATCCGGGCAGTTAACAAGCGGCAAGGTCGCAGACAGACATGTCACATTAACCAGGGGATAACCTCGGCAGAATACCCCCCCACCCCCTCCTCCTTATTCTACTGCTCCAGCAAGGTATGCTGGGAGTGCACAGGGGGGAGGGGGGAGTTATAAGTGTGGGCTGTGTGAGGTCGGCATCGATTTCCACCTCAATGAGACACTAACAATATCTTTAAAAACACAGCAGCTTCCCTCTCTGTGCTCAGACCCTTAACTTTCCCCTTAAAGCCCCCCCCCCCCGTCACACTGATGGAGTTAAGGTCTTTCTAGTGGGATTTAATCAGCAAGATTTTTCAGGGGTAAAATTCCAAAATAACTCTTCCACTAATTTCACTTAATTTCAGTTAAGGGGAGATAGATATTAAGGGATTTTTAACAGATCATCTTCACAGTTTAAGGGTTTTTAAAGTTGTAAAAACTATTTAAATTTAATTTAAATTTAAATTACAGAATGGATTTTCCCTTTGATTCAGAATCAAGGTCTTTTCAGGTGTAAATTAAGGGATTTTTAGTCAGTTAGAAAGCTCTTAAACCAACCACATAATCTGTTAAAATCTCCAGTATACATTATTATCCTTCCTTGATTATTCATTAATTAACACCTGATTTTGCGCCTTTATTGAGCGATTAAGGTCATTTTAAGGGGCACCTGTACAGATGTGAATTTTACAATATTTCACCTCCTAAAAACCCTCAAATCCCTCCAGAAACCCCAATAAAAACCTTTAATTAACCCTTAATTAATCTACAGTCAGGGTTACAAACAAATACTTGAAAACTGAATAAATGTTATTATTCTGCAGCTGGACATATTTAGCATGTCTAACATGTGTGATTAAGGGTTTTAATATTTCCCTTTACTGCCCTCTCATCCTGTGAATGTACAGATTTAGATTTGGGGACGACTGAGACGTGGTGAACATCAGACCTGACGTTTTACTCTGTTGTTGTTTCTGCAGCTGAGACCGGATCACTCCTCCTACACAGACAGACAGAGGGACTATTTCCCCGTGAAAACTTCATTGTGTAGTGATGCGGTTTTCCACAGAGCCACACTGCAGAGGTGAGGAGGTAGAGAGAGATGGGCAGTGTGTGTGTGTGTGTGTGTGTGTGTATTGACTGAAAGCTGATCTGCTGCTCTGGAGGCTCTAATGCCCTTTATGGCAGTGAACAGAATAATATGGAGCTCCATTCAGATGATACTGAGTCCTTCAGAGAGCTGATATGGATCGATGTGGATCGCATTAAAACGCAGCTGGAGACAAGACCAGAGACACACACACACACACACACAATAATACACAGTGATACACACAGAGACACAAAACAAGTACACACAAATAGAGACAGGTACACACACATAAAACAAGCTGCTTAGACCACACACACACACACACACACACACACACACACACACACAAATGCAGTGATACACATCCTTACATATATATACTGTATATATATATATATGTATATATATATATATGTAGTACATATACACAAACACACATATACCTACACAATGGTACACAACAGCTGATACAAATACACTCACTCATACACACACACGGACAACAATAAACAGTCAGACTTGTGTGTGTGTGTGTTTAAGTGTTGTTGTGATACCACAGAAACCAGTAGAAACCAGTTCACCTCATGGACCCAGTGACATCACTGACACTCTAATTGTTTTGTATTCATTTATTGATTGATTTATTATTGATTGATATATTGGTTGAAGCTTGAGTGTGTGATTAAAACACTAATATTTAGATATATATAGTATAACTTGACAGGGCAAATGTCTGTTTTAAACAAAGCTTCTCTGTAGTGGATAAAGATCCTGTCAGTGTATATATATATATACAGTATATATATATATATATATATATATATATATACATATTATTTGTGTTATGTTTGTTCTCATTCATCACGTCACGTTTTTGTCTCGTGTTCAGTTACAGATCAACACTGTTCTGACCTGACACATCACATGGTTTATTAACATCTAGGAAGGCTGTTTGAAGAAGAGCAGGAGCTTTCTGATTGGATGAACCGTCTGTCTATCATGTGATGTGGTAGGAGGGGCCAAAGAGGAAACACAACAACAAGCCGCAGTCTGAGGAGCCTTAAAGCTAGTTAGCTAGTTAGCATGTCGGTATATGATCATTGTCGTCTTCATGTGGAAGATAAAAGTCTAAAATAGTCTCTTTTCTGTAGCTGCCAATAGCTCCGCCCCCATAGGATGCTGATTGGTCAGAACCACTGTTGCTCGGCCACAAGCAAAGAGCTTGGGACCTGGTGAGGCGGAGAAATGCAGCTGCTTCACCAGGTTCCAGTGGAGCAGCTTTAAAGTTAATTTGGCTCACACTGGGGCGAGGGGGGGGGGGGGGGGGGGGTATGGTCTGACTTCAGCGTTTTCCCTGGCCACTGTGGATGATGTCACCCCCAACCACACCCAGGGCACTATGGGAAGCAATTACGTCGGACTCAGATTACAAGGCCCTGATGAACACACACACAGAAACACACACATGTACAGTTCATATGATTACACACACACACACACACACACACACACACACACACACACACTCCCTGGAGTCTCTCACTTATTACGTTAGGCAAGAAAGAAAAAGAAGCAGGAAAAAAAATCAATATTTCAGCAGGAGTATTTTTAAAAGCTGCCGTGTTGCTGATCCTGCCGCCACCGCCGCCGCCACTGCTGCTGCTCGCCCTCACAGTTTGATTCTCTCTGTAAGACGCCACCACACCACCCGCCGCTGCAAGTTTACCACTTCACCACCCGGCGAGTCCAGGCCAGCTCACCGCCACCGCCGCCGCCGCCTCCAGCTCTTCACACGGGTGACAAAACTGAAATAAAGCATAAAGCAAGCGTGGCGAGCCGAAGCCACCGCTGAGCCCACAAACAATCCGTCCTGGTTAACCCGCTAACCGCCTCGCCGTCACATCTCATTTGTTTGCAGCTAACGAACAAAGCGTGGAGGATCTGCGGCGCAGAAACAAAAGCAAGAGAAGAAAAAAAACAACAAGCTCGCAGGCAGTTTGTGCTACAAAAAACATCAGAAGAAGAAGAAGAAGAAGGCGGGAAGGCGTCGGTCTAAGCGCTGCCTCATTAGAAGGTCGAGTAAAGTCTAATATTGACTCTGCCGTGTTGTTGAAACGCCCTCTTCAAATAATTACTGAGGAATTCAGATGATGCTCCTCTGCAGCTAATTAGGGTCTGAAACAAGAGCAGCTTCATGCCCATTACCATCACATGATGATTCACTGGCCTCAGCACCAGCCCCAGTGTGTGTGTTTGCTTTTGTCTGGCCTTATTACAGCACACGAGCGTGCGTGTGTGTGTGTGTGTGTGTGTGTGTGTGTGTGTGTGTGTGTGTGTGTGTGTGTGGATGAGGTCCCTCCTTGGCTCTGCTACACACCATCAATAATTCACAAGCCAAGATGGCAATTACAGGACCATGTACAATCAAACTAAATATTTGATGAGGCACTAAAACAGTCCCTGGAACAGATCTGCCTCTGTCTCTCTCTGTCTCTTTCTCTGCCTCACACACACACACACACACACACACACACACGCGCACACACACACACACACACAC